CAAAGTACGGGAAAGTACAGCAAAGTATGGGAGAGTAAAAAAATAGTTTTTTTTTACTATTAAATCTGAAAATTGAAATTCTAAATTTTTGGAGTTCGGCAAAGTATGGGAAAGTACAGCAAAGTATGGGAGAGTAAAAAAATAGTTTTTTTTGAATAATTAAATTAGAAAAAAAAAATTCTGAAATTTTAAAGTTCAGCAAAGTACAGAAAAGTACAGCAAAGTATGGGAGATTTAAAAAATAGTTTTTTTTTAAAAATATTAAATTAGAAATTAAATTCTAATTTTTTGGAGTTCGGCAAAGTACGGGAAAGTACAGCAAAGTATGGGAGAGTAAAAAAATAGTTTTTTTTTGAATAATTAAATTAGAAAAAAAAATTCTGAATTTTTAAAGTTCAGCAAAGTACAAAAAAGTACATCAAAGTATGGGAGAGTAAAAAAAATGTTTTTTTGGGAATCTTAATTAAGAAAATTTAAAATCTGGATTTTTGGAGTTTGGCAAAGTACAGAAAAGTACAGCAAAGTATTGGACAGTAAAAAAATAGTTTTTTTGGAATATTAAATTACAAATTAAATTCTAATTTTTTTGAGTTCGGCAAAGTACAGAAAAGTACAGCAAAGTATGGGAGAGTAAAAAAATAGTTTTTTTACTATTAAATCTGAAAATTGAAATTCTGAATTTTTGGAGTTCGGCAAAGTACGGGAAAGTACAACAAAGTATGGGAGAATAAAAAATATAGTTTTTTTTGAAATATCAAATTAGAAAAAAAAAATTCTCAATTTTTGGAGTTCGGCGAAGTACGGGAAAGTACAGCGAAGTATAGGGGAGTAAAAAAATATTTTTTTTTTGAAATAATAAATTAGAAAATAAAATTCTGATTTTTTGGAGATCGGCAAAGTACGGGAAAGTACAGCAAAGTATGGGAGAGTAAAAAAATATTTTTTTTTTACTATTAAATCTGAAAATTAAAATTTTAATTTTTTGGAGTTCGGCAAAGCCGAACTTCAAAAATCCAGATTTTAAATTTTCTTAATTAAGATTCCCAAAAAAAAACTATTTTTTAAATCTCCCATACTTTGCTGTACTTTTCTGTACTTTGCTGAACTTTAAAAATTCAGAATTTTTTGTTCTAATTTAATTATTCAAAAAAAACTATTTTTTTACTCTCCCATACTTTGCTGTACTTTCCCGTACTTTGCCGAACTCCAAAAAATCAGAATTTTATTTTCTAATTTAATTATTCAAAAAAAAAACTATTTTTTTACTCTCCCATAGTTTGCTGTACTTTCCCATACTTTGCCGAACTCCGAAAATTCAGAATTTCAATTTTCAGATTTAATAGTAAAAAAAACTATTTTTTTACTCTCCCATACTTTGCTGTACTTTCCCGTACTTTGCCGAACTCTAAAGATTTAGATTTTGAATTTTCTGATTTAATATTTCCCAAAAAACTGGCCTCTAATACTTTGGTGTAGTTCTCTATTCGAAAATATTCCCGAAAATCCTATTTTCTTGATCCCGTACTTTAAATATCGTTGTTAACCATGTACATCTCAAAGTATGGGAAACGCTCATTAGCCGTACTTTACTGTACTTTGCCCATACTATTCTGTACTTTGATGGACTTTGCTGGACTTTGCCCGTATTTTCATTTCCACGCGGGAAGCTAATCTTGTTTTATTTTTTAATTCAATTAATCGTTCAGGTACTTCTTTAGCTTTTAATTTTGTTTTATTTTTGAGCGTTTTATCGTTTGTGACGTCGTAATCAGTTTTCTCTATATGTATTCCTTTAATTTTGTTTGGCACTTCCAAAGGTTGATTAGAATAATTAAAAAACAGGTGCCTTCATAATTCCGTTTTGTATTTTATAAAGTCCGGTGGGAATATTTGGATGATCTTCTACTAAAATATCATTATCTTCTTTATTCATTATGATGTTGCAAATCCGCATTTTATTTTGCTCTACAAAATATCCATCTTCATGTAAAGGTGTCTTCCACTTTTCTATTATAAGGAATTTTGGGGTGATAGCATATTTTTCATATTTTTGTAGAAATGGTAATCCAATTATTCCATCCTCGGGTAAAGGGAAATTTTCATCGACAATATGAAACAGTTGTTGTTTGCCGAAATAATTTAAATTAACAGCATATTCTGATTGGTACTTATCTTTACCCATACAAAAATTCTTTTTTACTTTAAAAGTCGTGTAATTGTTTCTGGGTATTTTATTTTCTTTTATTATGTTAACTGATGCTCCTGAGTCTATTAATAATCTGTATTCTTCTCCATTTTCAGCTCTTCCGTATAAGGATTGTAATTGTCCACTCAAGGTTGATATTCGACATTCTTGTCGTATTGCTCGTGGTGTTGTATTTCTTCCTCGGTCATTACCTGAAAGTCTGAAAATTCTTGGTCTTCGCATGTCACTCTAATAACTTCCGGTGGTCTCTTCGGCAACCTGCCATCGCGAAAATTTGATGATGTAGTACATTCTTTTGTCATATGTCCCGTCTTTCCACATTTGTAACATGATACCTGCTTTATCTGTGTTGGAACGTGCACTGCAGGTGCATTTATTTTATTTGACAAATTCTGATAATCACTTTCTTGAAACCATAATTCTAATTCCAATGCTTTTATTTGAGCTTCATTTAAATTTAGCGGTCGTTGAGCTTTTATCTGTAATCCTATGTCTCGACGAATGTTCATCATGTATCTTTTTAAAATTTCACTTTCTTCATTTTCTATTGCAACTTGTCGTTTAATTGTGTTTGTGTATTCTGATTGAATTGCGTGTTTTAATTCATGACAAATTTTCCTATATTTATTGTTGAAACTTTGAATATCTTCGGTAAGGTTTTGTTTGCAATTTAATAATTTTGATCGAAGCATTGACACTGAACCGATTTGCGTTAAATTTGCACGTAAAGCATTAAAAAGTTTTGCATAGCTGTCTAAATCTAAGTATCGTATTGCTCTTTCTGCGTTTCCGGTAATTTTTTCAGAAATTATAAACTCTAATAATAGGTCTAGTTGGTAACATTGCCCTTTTGCTCTTTTAATGTTTTTTATAAAATCTTTAACTCCACAATCATCTTGTCCCGTTAATGTTTTAATAGTTCTAATTATATCTTTAGCGGCAATTTTTCCTAAATTTTGATTTTGTATTATTTTTTGATTATTTATTCTATTTGCTTGTTGTTGAACATCGGATTGCGATTCGTTATCACCGAAATGACTTTCGTTATGGGATGCATTTTCTGATTCGTTATCTGTTTCTTCCGTAGGATCTATCCCTAATTTTTTGCCTAATGTTATTATCTCATCTTTCCTGTTATTATTTTCATGAACTAAACTCGTAACTCCTAGATTTAATCTTGAAAGTTGATCCACAATTGATGAAAGAATCTGCTCCGTATTTGGCGTTGTTGATGTTCCAGGTGGATTAAGGGTGGTTTTTGATTCGTTCTCCATATTTAAACTTTCGTCAGTCGAGTCAGAGTCTGTGTCAGATATAGAGTTTGTGTGTTTTAAATCCCTATAGGTGTGATATGCCATAGTATAAAAATTACTTTGTTTCGGGTGTAAATGAATGTTTCGCGTAACAATAATTATATGTGTGTTTAATTCTCTTCACTTGTTCAAGTGGCTACACACTTACAACAAGGTTAATCAGAGAAATAGTTTTATTTTATTGAGGAAACTAAGACTTACTAACACGCGTAGTCTAGTTACCATTTAATAAATCAAACATATAAATCAAATATGATTCATTCGTTGAATAAGTCTTACGTATTTCTGCTTCTTCTGGACCCTGGTGATGTGTGAAGAGTGGCCGTAGACACTGCTGCAAAACACCCCCAAGTAAGTGGCTGACGTGTCTGCCTCGTTCTCCACTTGGATGAAATTCCTCCAGAAGTCGTCTTCTTCTGAGACTTATTGTCTAGATCGACAAGCTCAAGCACCTCAATCAATATGACGTATTAAATTTCTCGAAGGTATCCGTAGAGTACCCACGGAGCCTTTCCTCCTTAGGTTGAACAATTATATTTTCCGTAGAAAATCAGGTTCACACTCGAAGATAGCACAGTTTGACGAATTACTTTTACGTCGTTTGTTGCTATCCTGGCAGGATCGCCAAAATGTTACGGTCTAATTTATAAAATAGACACAGTTTACTTTTTATCACTTCTGAGAGTGACAATTTATTATAATACTCAATATTACACTTTAAAGGCAGGAATAAGACTGAGTTGCAAATCACAGAGAAAAGTGAGTGTTGTTTTTGATGCGGGTAAATTTTGGTAGGGTAATTTTAGTGAGGATAAATTTTCTATAATAGAAAATTTACCTTATTTTCAGTGTTAAAATAACACTTCCGAGCTAAAGTTTGATGCAGACACTTTTAACACCGAATTCAGTGTTAAAATAACACTCACTTTTTTCTGTGATACGTTTTGCAGCTCATGTTGAATATGAAACAATTCAGGTGGGGATATATATTTTTGCTGACTATAACACAATAAATATTAATATTTTTAATTAGCTAAATGAGTTTTCTACACTAATTTCATTACCTACAATAAATGATAAGTTAATCAGAATAAAAATATGGAAGGTCTGTATTTGGGTTGACTCCTCGACTTGGATTTAGCTAAAATTTTTGTTTGGATATTTGTTTCATCAATACAAATTATTTTCTGCAATAAAATCGCGTGTCTAAGTAGAAACCAATTTTTAATAAACTTTTTGATTTAATTAGAATTTTTAATTGAATCTAATGTAATTTTTAATTTGTATTAAAATTCTTAGTAATTTTAAAGTCTCTCTAAAACTATTGCTAATCTACTGAAAAGTAATGATACCTTCGATTCTTTGAAAAAATTGTGCCAACTGCTAAATTGAAAAATACAAAATAAAATTGAAAATTTTGACTCACAATTACAAATGAAGAACTTTCAGCAATTGCAATATTGTTTTCTTTTTTGTTTCAGCACTTAAACCTCTTTAGGTGAAGAACCGTCGGATGCGAAGGAGACAGAGAGTGTGTTTCCAAGCGTGATGACGTTACTTTACTCGATAATAGGGAGCTCGCTTTTTGCTTAAAGAAACCTTTTTGCCTCAAACAAAAAAAAAAGAAAAGAAAACACCAAGACGAGGAAAAACCTCAAACATGACTATATAATTTTCTCGAAGGCTTCGCTCTCTTTCTCCAAAACCTCTAACATTAAAGTATTTAACTTAAAAAAAATTGTACGACCAAAAAAAAATCGTTCTCAAAACTTTTAAGCGGTCTTAATAAAACCGATTAAACCACATAAGAACGTTTATTTTGCTAAGAAAAAATTAGATTTCAAATTTAATTCTATAAAGCAGAAAAAAAAATCAAGTTTTGGATTTTAAGAAGACACACATACACACTAAGACAAGAATAAAAGTGTAAAATTCAAAGCATGAGAGGAGAATAATGAGAATACTTCTGAGAAAATTTTATACACTTGAGAAAAGCATCAAAGCTGCTGGCTTCAAAGGGACATTGCATCTATAAATCATTCGTCTTCAAGAATTCAAGTCTTTTCAGCCCAATCGAAAAAAGAAAGAAAGCTTCAACTAGTTTTTTTCCTTCCCACCCCTCAGTCGAAATACAAATGGAAGAAGGGATTTTTCTTAACGAGTTCAAAATTGATTCACAATCGAAAGAAAAACGTTATTTGAGCTAAGTTTGGAAAAAAGCGAGAGAGAGAGAGAAAGACAGTCCTTTTTTTGGTGTGGTAGTAAGAAGGTTTTTCAAAATTAATCGAAAAATGACTGTAACACATAGAGATAAAGATGGCAAAGTCGTTTGGACGAAGCATTGGGGGCCAGAGAGACTTGTCGAGATCTATAGGGAACCGGAAACTAGTCTTGGACTTAGCATTGTTGGTGGAAAGGTAAAGTATATCAAAATTTATATTTAATCTTTTATAAAATTTCAAAAACAAATAACAATAATAATAATAAGTTAATAATATTTAAGTATTTTATCTTTGCCGTTATAAAAAATCAATTGCTTTCTCCATTTTTGTTTAAACTTAATAAAGACAATTTATTCTAAACCTTTTACATGGTATTGTTTCAAAATTTTTTTTTAATTATCAAGTGTTAATAAATTAAGTTTATCTACCGTTTAATTTAACAATAAGTTATCATTTTAATTTGTCAATTAACACTTTTCTAAACTCTTATTGTAAAAAATGTATTACAGTTATTGCTAAAGTTTCTTTTGGATATTGTTAGATATTATAATTTATAAACCTGTTTTACATAAATTAAAAATTCAAGCGGTTGCTGATTACGAATCTGAGGTTACATTTTCAAAATCAAAATGTCGGATTCAATATGGCGGATGAGAAAAATAAAAATCCAGCGTATATGCTTAAAATTTGTTTCTCGGGGGTTATTGGGGTCGCTAATTACGAATCTGATGTCAGATTTTCAAAATTTAAAATGGCGAGTCCAATATGGCGGATGAATTTTTTAAAAGTTGACGGATTTGTCTAAAAATATTCACTCGGGAGCTTTTAGAGTTACAAAATTCGAATTTAATGTGAAATTGTAAATTGTAAAATTTGCTTTTTGTATCTTCCAATTGGTTATATATTTTGCAAAGCATTTTGCATTTTTTGAGCCTGACATTAGATTTTAATTCATTTTTTAAATTTTGCTAGCCATATTGATGACATCAATTTTTAATTTTTTAATTGTTACATCAAATTTGGATTTAGTGACTCCAAAAACCCCCGAGTAAACATTTTAAGCAAATCCAGCAACATCAAACAAAATTTGGTTGACATATTGGATCCACCATTTTGAATTTTGAAAAACGGGTATGAAGTTCGAATTCAGCGTCTCAAAATCTTGAAATTATTCGCCATTTTGAGTTTTGAAAATCTGACATCACATTCGTTGATCAGATTTTAAAATATAGACAGAAACTAGGTGAATGGTTATTTCAGTCACCGCTATAAATATTTATTAATTATTTGTTATATTATTAAAATTAATATGTGTAATGAACACATCTGACACGTCTCAAACTTTACAGGGAACTACTTGAATACATGTCCCCTTTCTCAATAACCACACAAGTAAAACTCAAAGAATGTTTTTTTTTTATTTTCAAAGTAAACTTGCTGAAAATTTAAATCTGATACATAGAAATGTATGTAGTAGATTATAACAATAAATCTAAAATTCAAGTATTGAATATTTATCGGTAAATCATTTTTTTATAGAAAAAAGAATAAATGAATACACAAATATATTATTCATATATACATGTTGATACATTTTTCAAAAAATTTTTAAATATTTAATATTCAGCGTCAAAAAACTGGACTCCAACAAGAACAAATAGTGGTGCAACTTTTGTTAAGAACATAAGCAGACAGAGAGTGTTGTGCAATCCCAATCGTCTGAAAGTGGAGGAAGTCTAGTTTGTTTGTCCTACAATCTCAATTCGGAAAAATCTATGTTCCTATGTCGGTGGCGCTGAACTCCCAAGATTGAGACTTCAAATCTTGGGACTGAAATAGACACATCTTGGGCGGTGAGAAATGTTGCTCTTCCAAATCAAAGTCGTATCGCATTCGTGAACTTTTGGTCTACTTGGAATGGCTCGTCACCCAAGATTTTTTCCGTGTAAGAATCCGTCGGCATGTGATGCATACCATCATGTATCTAGTAATTTTTATAAAAAGGAGATAAAGAAAGCACAGGGTATCATCTGGAGGAGTTTTTGCAAGGGAGTCGAAAAAATACCAGAAGCATCAAAACTGCATAAAGTTCTAGCTAGATACCCAATGGACAAATTAACTACCATTAACTCTCTGCACTCAGAAAAAGAGTTGGCTGCCATATCCAATTAAATAGTTGCTGGAGCGCGATCCAATAAATTGGTTAGCACATCCAACTATTGCATAATGATTCCATGCGAAAAGGTACCCCAGCTATCGTAAAGGTAATGCGCTAATGCAGCTAAAAAGTTGGATGTAGCAACCAACAAATAGTTGCCCCATCCAATTAATTGGATCGCGCCAGATCGCGCTCCAGCAATTATTTAATTGGATATGGCAGCCAACTCTTTTTCTGAGTGTGCTGATGCTAACGACCGTTATCATAAAAAATCGTCATTCTGGACGCCTGGTGGGGACTATGGGAGTTACGTTTTTTGGCGATAGATTGGGGATAAGTTAGCATCAGCAGAGGGCTAAACTAAAAGAAATTTCTTCTTCCGAATCGGCTAAGTACCTGAAAGTAATTCTTGATAAGAAGCTGCGTTGGAAAAAACATTTCAAATATCAGTATGGGAGATACATTAAATGTAACTTACTTGACGTTGAACATTAAATATTTAAAAGCTTGGAAAAAACATCTACATCCGGCAAGTTTGTAAGGACAATTATTTTCGGCATGTTTACATAGAGTTATAATTATTTCCCTAACTAAAAAAAATTTGAATAATTGTACAGTTATTTTAAAGTAAAGATTAAAATAGCTTTTTTAAATTTCAATATACTGCTAATAAAAAAAAACTATTTTAAATCTCTCGATCTGATTGTTTATAGAATTAAAAAGCTGAGATGATATCGGATGTATCTTGAAAATAATTTAACGTATCACGATTGATTAATAATGCAACAGTGAGCGCTTACACAGATTATCAATCAATTTTAATGAGACTAAAAATATTCGGCTTTTATCAAATTCATATTTTTAAAGATGCGACTTATTCATAAACTCCGCTTATTTTCTATATGCAATAAAAATCAATATATGTAGATTAAAACACTTGTAATGAATTCACTCAACTTCGAATATAAAAAGTGTAATAAAAAATTAATGCTGCATTCCGCCAGAGTAACTAAGCGAAAAAAGGAAAAAAATAAAATTTATTAAAAATTACGTTACAAATCAGATTAAAAGTATAAATTATAGTTAATATATTTCATCTTAATAGTACAAAATACATGTAAAATTATTTAATTATTTTATAAATTTATTTATTTTATAATTTAATTATAATTTTTAGATAATTATTATTCAACGGAAACATTTAAATATAAAAAGAATCAAATATAATGAAAGTAATATAGCAAAAAAATTAAAAATCATAATGCTGGTTTAAAGTTATTATTTATGTTTAATATTATATTATTAAACAACTAATTTCTGCTATATACAGTTATTAAAAACTTCAAAAGAATTTAATATTTTCTTATAGTCTTACGCGGTATGTTTCGGATGTTTTTTTGTAATCCCTCTATATTTTTTCGTAAAGGTTTTTAATTTAACAAAATCTTCTAAAATCCAGTCGTTCTTCCAGAAAGTTTAATATCTTTTGATCCCGAACAAATGAGGAAAGTAATCTAAGAAAACTATACCGTCATGGGGATAAAATTATTCATTTAAGTAAGATTACATTTACAAACGAAATTTTAAATTGCGATATTGGTATAAACGGAATTTATAACACGACGTCGTTAAGAAAAAACTTTTCAAACTAAACTTATGTTCAGTTCTTTAAAAAATAATTTAATAAAAGAATGTAATGATGTAACAAAAAAATGGATTTATAAATGTAAGCTATAAATATAATGCGAAGGCAAACCTAAAATTTTGTATAGGGTAACTTGTTCCAATTACGGATGCGTTTAGTTTTTCAAGTTTCGAAAGCAATTCTAAATAACTATTTGATACAAAAATTTTCTCGGGGTCACTGTTTATTATGAATGGGTTTTGAAAAATTAAAAATGGCAGATCCAATATGGCGGACAAATTTATAAAATTTATAAAAAGTACTAACGGCAAAGTAAAATACATTTCAATTAAAAAATTTCCTAGAAATTGGTTTGCAAACAAAAATGAAATATTCTAAAATTTAGGAGAATATAGTTTAAAAATGTTGATGCTTCTTGCAGGTGGACCTGGTGAATACTGACAGTTCAAACAACTCTAATGTGTCCGGAGTATTCATAAAAAATGTAACACCCAATACACCGGCTGGTAGGACAAGGGGTTTGAAGGTAGTAACATTATACTTCAAAAGAATATTAATTATTTATAACGGAATTTCCGGCTTTATAAATGAATATTTTACAAACAGGCTTTTCGAATTTAATTTAAAATTCTATTTTTCTTCCTATAAACATTTTCAATTCTAAACTACACTTTCCATTTTTGAATATAAAAGTAGTTTCCAAGTGAGTTTAATACAATGGAAACGTGTCCCTTTTTCAGCTGAGAAAAAAGGAGAAAAAAAAACTAAAATCTGATCGACTCGGTGCGCATTGCTTTCGTTACAGTTGAATAAACCACATAGGAACACTAAGAAAAAAAAATCTTTTTTTGTGTTATCAACCCAAAGATAATCGTTTTTATATTTTAATTCAAGATGGATGTTTCGAAAAAGTTTTTTACAGAACAAGTTTCGTATTATTTAAGTCAAGTAAGATTCAAAAATTAATTCAAGGGATTTATTTTGTGACAGGTTGAAAGCAATTTTAATCATTTAACTTTATAAATTAATTTTTAAAATTATTTTTATAGTCTAAAATTTTAAATAGATTGGAATTATATTAAAAAAAATCTTTTCTGAGTAAGTAAAAAAGTATATAGATTTGATTTTAAAAATGACTTTATAGTAACCAATTATTTCAATTAATAATTTAATTTAAATCTGAATAAATAGAATTAATAAATATAAGTAAGAAAAAGGGTCAGCTGGGGCAAAAGCAAACAATGGGTAAATACAAACAGTAATTCTTTCAGCTTAATTATTCTAAATATTAAAAATAAATACGGCATGATTAACCTTAGATCACCTACAAGAGGTTCTAATTGTATTATTCTATTTTTATTTATCATTTAGCAGAAGTTTAAGTAAATATATTTCCTATTGTATAAAAAATTGAAAATAAAAAAGACACTCTTTTAAGATTTTGTCTCCTATTTGCGTAAAGGCAAATTAAAGTTCACGTTATTTGATATTTGTAATTATATTAATACTCTAACAGAAATCAACATTGATTTTTGCCCTTTGCAAAATTTAATTAATAATATCGGACTGTTTCCATTTACCTCACAAAATTTGAAATCTGAATTAAACATAAACAGTTAATTTTGTGCGATTTAATGTTATCTATATTTTCTACTGTCACAAAAAATTGGTCCAGCGAGGTGATAAAATAACCCACACAGCACCAAAACTTTCCTGAAAATTTATTAAAGATTTACTTGCAAACTTCGAAAAATTTACTTGCAAAGTTTAGTGGAAATTGTGTAAAGATTCAAATGTCCCACGTAAATAAATGTTTATAGTCAAATTTTCCTAAAAATTTAACTTAAAACTTTCCTGAACATTTAAATTAAATTTTCGACTTCTCTCTTATAAGCGAAAATGTAACTTAAAACTTTCCTGAAAATTTAAATTAAATTTTCGCCTATATACAGTAGGCGAAATTTTTTTTTAAATTTTCAGGAAAGTTTCACGCTAAACATTTATTGAAGTGGGACATTTAAATCTTTACAAAATTTCCACTAAACTTTTCAAGTAAATACTTCGAAGTTTGCAAGTAAATCTTTAATAAATTTTTAGGAAAGTTTCGGTGCTGTGTGGGAAGTTAATGCAACAGAAAACAGAAACTATATATCAGGGTTGCCACGCTTTTGCTCATTTAAAATTCCCTGACTTTTCCAGGTTAAAAAACGGAATTTTTTCAGGTTTTTAAAACTATATTTATATTTTACCACATTAAATAACTCCCTGATTTCTAGACAAAACTTTGACTTTTTCCCTGACTCTACCCTCACAGCACCGGGATATTCAGGATATCCCAGAGACGTCCTGGGGATATCGATTTGTTTTCGGAAGTTTGGATATCCCTGGATTATCCTCTGGATATCCATGGACGTCCCTAGGATATCCCAGAGATATCCAAACTTCCGAAAACAAATCGATATCCCCAGGACGTCTCTGGGATATCCTGAATATCCCGGTGCTGTGAGGGTAAAGAATATTCTGATTTACTCGCAAAATGATTAAAATCTTTTAAAGTTCATCTATGTATTTATGAAAATTTTATTGTAAACGCAACTCTTTTAAAATTGAATTAATTTGGAAATATTGAAGTAAAATTAGATTTCAAGAATAAACATAATAACTTTAGGCAACAATTTTCTAGGATTTCGATCAAAATTCCCTGACTTTTCCAGGTTTCCAGTTTGGGTGTCAACCCTGATATTGCAATTTAAAAGAAAAAATTTAGTTCTTTTTATTTTTTGTAGGTTTGCATTAATTTTATTTATTTGTAATCAAATAAATTTTTATAATATTTCATATTTAATTCTTTGTATCTCTTGAAAATTTGCATACTTAACATTGAATTTCCCTTTAATTTTTTTTAGAAACAATGTCTGTAGGGTAACAGGTACAGTGACCGACACCCATTCAGTGAACCATGAAGGACACCCCCAATTAGAAATCGCAATAAATATAAAACAAAACATTGTTAATGAATATTTTGAAAATATTAATATTATAAAATACAATAAATGGAAGCTATTAAAGTAGTAGCAATATTTAATTTATTTTTATTTTTAACAGCATTTTACTTTCTGTGAAGATAACCTCAAAAAGTGAATTTTGAGGTTATCTCCATAGAACTTGAAATTTTATCCATAATAGCATAATATAAACGAAATTAATATTGCTGATATTTTAATAGCTTCCAAAAATTGCATTTTATAATATATAATATTAACATTTTTCAAATATACATTATTAATAATGTTTTGTTTTATATTTATTGCAATTTGTATACATGATTTTTAATTGGGGGTGTCGTTCACTGAATGGGTGTCGGTCACTGTACCCGTTACCCTACTTACCCCTAAATTTTAGGACAGTTAAAAAATTTCTGGGTGAATATAAAAATTTACAGTTTTATGTATTTTATTTTTATTTTTTTACTTACTTTTATGTCCATATTTACTCCTAAATTTTAGGATATAGTTAAAAAATTTCGGGGTGAATATAAACATTTAGTTTTATGCAATTTAATAATTCTATATTTTCAACCACTCCATAAAACTATTCTAGTGAAGTAAAAACAACAAAAATAATGCAAAAGAAACCCAAAGTATTTTAATTTAAAAGAAAAAACTTACCTTATTGGTGAAACTTGAAATTAGTAATTCCATTTGCATTGAATCCAACTGGCCCTAAAAATAATAAAATTTATGAAATTAGTTAAATATAAGTAAAAAATGATTTTTGGTAATACATGCAAGAAAAACGTTTAATGTTTTCAATTAGGCAATATAAATTCACGTTAATTTTTTATATTTCAAAAATTAAAATATAAAATAGCGTTTTTTTCAGTAGGTGATTTAAAAAGCACAGTATTTTCCGACTAAATTTAAAAATAACAAACTCATCAGAAAACTGTCACTAACAAACTAATTAATTTTTGCATTAATAAATAACTTTGTATTATAGTTCAAACATATAATTGTTATAAGCATTTCAAATCAAAATTTTTTTTTATAAATTCTGTACTCAAACCTATATTTTTTTCCGTGAAATATTTAAAAAATAAATGTAGATTAATATTTATCCAATAAAACACAAAACATTCCATTTAAAATTTTAGTTATTTACCGAACGGTTCTTATGAATTTATTGCTACTGTAATATTTCAAAATGTTCAATTTAAAAATTAGTACTGTTTTTTGCAATAAAATTTAAAAAAAAAACAGATTCTTGTCTAAAATATTCACCAAATTATATCAAGTTTAAAATATATAAAATAAAAAATATTATTATGTATTATTAATTAAATTCTTTTAGAAGATAAACCGGCTTGCAAAAAATTAAAATGCTCTTTCGTATGAAATGGATATTTGAAAAATTTCCCAAATTGTAAAAGTTACGTCATATAAAATTGATTGATAAAAATTTTTTGAATTATTAATATTTTCGCAAATATTCAACGAATTTAAATAAAATCTCAATATACTTGAAATCATGTATTTTTGGAATGTTGCATAAAAGAGAAAAAGAATTTTCATTTTGACCAAAAAATAGTCTTGTCACTGTCAAATATTTTTTTTAATCATCACCAATTATTAAATTTACAACAAACAGAAAATCTTTAGAATAGTTGACCTAAATTGATAGGGACAATTTTTTTTTCATCCGAAACTGTTCCAATTTTTTTTATTCCGTTTGTCTTTATAGGGGAAAAAATGTCGAAGCAGATATTTATTCTTTTAAATTTAAAAAAAAGAGGAATTTCGTTTATTCAGATTTTGAAATCAAAATCAAAAATAAATATACGTACATAGTCGTAATTTTAGAATTTATGTAAAAATTAGGTTTTTTAAATCAAAACTCCACGTGTTTAGTTTCGATTCTGATTCCTCAAATTCTACCAAAACAAAGCTATTTTCTACACATGGACCATTGCCAACACGATGAATCTATAGAAAAGTGTTTTTTTTCTCATTCCGTCTTTAAAATCATAATCAATGATAAAAAGTTTTGATTCTCAATTTCCATAAAGAAACAAGAAAAATTCAAATTCTTTCCAATTCTAATTTTTCAATGACCAAATTTGGAATCAAAGATTTTCGATTACTTCTAATTTCAATTTTAAAATAAATTAAAATTTTATTTTTCAATATTTTTTACACATGGACCAGACGTAGTAGATTATTGTAAAATTCCAAATTGTATAAATATTTAGAATCTGAGGAAATTCTTTTTCTACCATTCTTCGGACAGTGTGATTTGAATTTAAAGAGTCTAATGAAGAGTGCAAACCATTATATTTATTTTCTCGCGTTTCAACACAATTTCAGCCTTATATCTTGTGTTTGCGGATAGTCAATATGTCAGTGGAGGGTAATGGTTTCTATTTTATTTTATAACACACACATTCGTGTTTCGGAGGCTTCGCTAAAATGGCTCTGTGCGCATTTCAGTTTTGTTATAGTTCAGTGAGTAAGAGAACAGAATAAAATG